ACCGCAAAGGTCAAAGTATTGAATTTTGGTAAAGTTGTCATAATTTTGTTATTTATGTACTGATTGATTCATACGTCGACAAAACAACACTTTCGACGAAACAGACATATGGAATTATTTAGATATGACATTGACCGTCAAATCATAATATTTCGCCTAAATATTCTTAACTTTGTCATTTATTTATAGAAATGATTCATACTTGACAAAATTACAAGTGTGACAAGACAAACCTCTAAAATAACAAAAAAGGAAAAACTGAATCTAAATGCCCCCGAAGGGGTCCTCACGACCGTAAAGGGATAGGGGGCATCTAACTTAAACATAATAAAAGAAAACAAAACATTCCGTAACAATATAGTAAGGGGCCATTAGCCCTCTTGATTTTTCGCTTGTGGGAAAAAACTTCACCCTAAAACACTTTTTTGTATCTTATTGTTTTCTCGTCTACGGTAAGTATCTTGCCCTTTGCCCCTAGTTTTATTTCCTTTATTTACCCCCCTCCTTCCCTGGGTCTTCTGTCCCCTTCCCCTGTGCTCTTTGACTTTAATGGCCTATTATTCAATCATTTTTTTGTTTTCTTTGAGTTCCTTAACAGTTACCAATTATTTCTCCTTATGTACTATTTTAGTGATTAACCTACCTATGCTCTGCCTTGTGCCCTGTCCTGTTTTTGTTTGGGGTCCTCCTGAGCTCCTTGCCACTGGCTCTTGTCGCTGGATCGTGTGGGGGTTGCGTTCATTGAACGCCGTCTTTCCTTGTTGATCTTGTTTATCATATTTCAGAGGATTGTTTACAATAAGCCTAGTTGTGCATACTCTGGCACAGTTATGGCTCCTCAATGGTCTGTTTTTCAGTATAATAAGCTATCCACGCTACATCTCGAAAACCACAGGAGGGATTTCAGTAAAACTTTACAGGATTGTTTGTCACCAAGCCTAGTTGTGCATAATTTTTTAATTTCCGCTTGATTTTTTTTTTGCATAGTAAGGCCTCCCTTATAGTTAATTTTCAAGTAAAGTGAGAATGTTGGCGCTTCATCACCAAAACCGTTGGGGGAATCCAGTGAAACTTGAAGGGATTGTTTGTCATCAAGCCTAGTTGTACATAATTTTTTGATATTCTGCTATAATTCTTTGGCACAGCTATGCCCCTTAATGGTCTTTTTTTAAGATAAAATTAGCTCAAAAACCAGTGGGTGGATTTCGCTGAAAATTTTTACAGGAATGTTTGTCACCATGCCTAGTTGTGCATAGTGTCCTGATTATTTTGCACAGTTATGATCTCTTGATGGTTATTTTCGAGTTCTAAGCTTGTCCCCCTTAATGGTCGGTTTACAAGTATAGTCAGCTTGTTCAAGCTTCAACTCCAATAGCTGGTGAAAGTTCACAGTATTTGTTTGTCGCCATGTTGTGCATAGTCTCTTAATTTTCTATTTGAATTTTTTTTGGCACAGATATGAACCCCTAAATGGTCAATTTTCGGATGAAGTAATCTTGTATTCGTTATATCTCCAAAGCCACCGGATTGTATATCACTAAACCTAGTTGTGAAATCTCTCTTGATATTCTGTTGATATTTTGGCACAGCTATTGCCCTTAATGGTCTACTATTTGAGTACAATAAGCTTGCCCATGCTACATCTTCAAAACCGATTGGAAGATTTCAGTGACACTGTGCAGGATTATTAATGTCACCAAACTTATTTGTGCCTAGTACTTTGATTTTAAAGTAAATGCACTTTATCCATCCATCAACTCCAAAACCACTTTCAGTGAACATTAAAAAATTGCATGGTGTCATGAAAGCTGAGTTGCATGCATGTGTCATGATTTTTTTCGCACAGCTATCTGCCCTTGATGTCGAATTATATTAGAAAGAATTATTTAGACCATTTCTCATACAAATGGAATTTCAATGGAATTTTAGGAATGATAGTTATCAAAGGCAGTCGGGCGTATATTACCGTATTTTGGCGAATATTGCAGATTTTTCGTCAAAGCTTCCATTAATTTCACTTTTCAGTGACATCTCTAGTTTTTCTTTAATTTTCTTTAATAAATCTACTGTTCTGAACATGCGCACCAGAAAATACTTAAGTACGAAAATAAAAAAGACAGAACTCGCGAAAACACAAATAGACGAAGACAAAACACGAAATCACGATGAGGAAGACACGCTAATTATTCACTTGATTTGTCGACTTTTAGGGGGGGGGGGGGTTTAGTGTGTGTTTTTGTATAGCGATTCACCTGTGTGCATGCGTGCGTACATGCGTGTGTGTGCGTGTTTTTGTGAATAGATTACAAAGTTGTTCAAAGAATATGATTCCATACAAAAATCTGGTGGTCAGTAATAATAAAAAAAAGCAAAAAAAATCTTCTTAAATCGAGGAAATAAGAATCCCTACAGAAAGCCCAAAACGAGACAAAATTGAAAATGTTGCAGGCTCGGTTTGAGTGAGCTTGTTCATGGACGGCACTGTCAAGTGCAAACTACCGTCCATGCCCTCTAGCACCGACCTAAGCAGATTTAACATGAGCTGGTACAACTTTGAATTTTGAAACATTCAGAGACTCATAAGGCCTAGATTATAGATCTTTTGCATAAGGCATTATCTGGTAGACCTCTACCAAGATTGTTCAAATTATAGAGCTAGGGTCATTGATATTTATGATGTTTATATAGTAAAAACTTGAAAAATCTTCCTGTCAAGAAATACAAGGCTTGGAGCATTGATATTTGGTATATGATATCATATCAAAATTGTTTAAATTTTGCCACTAGAATTAAAATTGACCCCAACCCGGGGGTCATTGGTTTTCCTTATATGTATATAGTCAAAAGTTAAAACCCTTTTTCTCTGAATTGACAAAGGCTAGAGGTTAAATATTTGGCATGAAACATTGTGTAGTGGCTCTGTATAAAAATTTTCAAATTATAGTCATGGGATCAAAATTGGCCCTTCCTTAGAAGTATTGATTTTCATTATATACATATAGAAAAAAACTTAAGAAATCTTCTTTTTGTATGTTCAAGGCTAAATGTTTTGACATTTGGTATGCATTGTATATTTATAAAACCAACCATATGTCCTCTACCTAAGTTGTTCATATTTTGCCTCTAGTGTCAAAATCCTATTCATGGATTATAGGGTTTCCTTATATGTATATAGCAAAATAACCTTCTTCTCTGAATTGACATACGTTAGAGGTTAGATATTGGGCATGAAACATTGTGTTGTAGAAAACCTTCAAGATTATTAGCTCAACAGAGCCGATGAGCTATTTGTATCAAAGTGGGACGCGCCGGCGTCCGTTGTCCATCGTCTGTCGTCATGCGTCTACATTCATATTTTTCTCTGATACTGCTTGGCATATTTACTTCAAATTTGGTCTGTAGCATCCTTGTTAGCAGTCACATTTACACTTGCTCATATCTTGTATCTTGAAAGATTGTTTAAATTAAATCTTAGGAGTGAACAATTTGTCCTGCACATTTACTGTTAGACCGATCAATGTGACAATAATGACAATCTTCAATTGCAAGTTTATAAGCAGTATCGTTAGTACTCGACATTTTTTTCAATCAAAACATTTAAAAAAAATTAATATGTATTAAGTTTTGCCTTAGCATCTAAAGTGCAAAACATATCAATTATATAGACATTCTATTGCCTTACTTATTTGGATGTAAATAACAAGTATAGTATTCCATAAACAACTATTAAGATCATCTAACAATGCTTTAACAGGTACACACTGTATATAAACATTTCCGCAAGTTTTGCTATTCATACATAAATTTCAGATGAGCTATTGTTCTCGAAGAATATATATTTTAATATATTTTGTTCGCGAAGGAAAGATAAAAAAAATCCATCAATTCATACAAAGGCCAAATTTTAAAGAACGGAATTAAGTTTCAATAATTAAGTTAATGGAGACATATTGTTTTTGCCCTCTCCGTCTGTCTGTCCGTCTGTCCGTCCGTCTGTCTGCATTTAGTTTGTCTGGCCTTCACGGGTCAAACTAATGGCGGGATTTCAATGAAACTTCTCGGGGGTGATCAGTACCATCCCTAGTTGTGTATATCGCCAGCAAGTTCCGCTTGGTTGCACAAAATGGCCCCCTGTGCTTTAAATAGAAACATCTTGTCCGGCTTTCAAAGGTAAAACTGCTGGTGGGATTTCAACGAAACTTCACAGGAGTTATCAGTACCATCCCTTGTTTTGGGAAACATATGTTTTTGTGACAAGTATTCAAATTGCTGTTATTCATACTTTATTATGCTAATGGTGAATGGTTATCAGATTGATGAAAAGGTTACTAATACTGATAGTTCACATTTTTCCGATGTAAAATTAAGATGAAAAAAAAAACAAAAACAATATATTTCAAAGAAGTGATTTACCATAAATAATGACAAAGGTAATGATGGATACTTATAGTGCTAGTTATGTTCAACGGGTGCAAAAAATGTTGTTATAGTTACTGTGGAATTACCGTCAAATATTTTACTTTGAGTAACACAGGGTCAAACTCGAAATCCTTGGGATTTAGAGTCAAACAGGTTATTTTCTTTATTTTGTAAGCTATCCACTTGCAAAATACTTATGTCTGCTTCTAACGGTCATTTGTATAAATATGTAGAATTATAAATTCAAACCGAAAATGAATTAAAAAATAGTTTCTTCATTCATTGTGTTCAGCGTTCTTTATTATTCTCACTGACTGAAAACAGTAATACAAAATTGAAAGCAAAACGACAATTTAACATGAATAACCTTATTCAAGGGTTATTGTATAGATACTAACATTAATGTATACGTGGTTCAGAATCGCATATCAGTTTTTACAAATATGATTAAATTAACTTACATAACATCTAAAACTATTATACATATTTACTTACGTAGGTATTACAATTTTGTATGTCCTTTTAAATATAAGATTTGAGCTAAAATTGAGTACGTATTTATACTCATTATTTTCTTATAGGAAGTGTTCAGGGCTACGGAAACGCACAGAAAGACATACACACGATAAACCTGTATCTATTGCAGTAAAGGAGTCACTGGAACAAAATAATAGAATTGTGACAATATGCGTACTACCTAATGGAGAGTATCTTGCACAGTTTGCGACAATGCCCGGTTATGAACTGTGTAAGCTCAACAAAACTTTTCATACTGTAGCACGTTGTGATTTACTCGGGTCTGTAAACGCAAGCATGTGCTACATAGGTAACAACAAAGTTGCTTTTAATCTTAGTGACAACCAACTACAGTTTATAAATGTCAAAAACTTACACATTCTTGAACAAAAAGTTACTTTGATAGGAATAGTGCGACACTTGGCCTGTCATGGGGAAAAGATTTATGCATTTAATGGCAGAACTGTCTTTTCTTATACCATAGATGAAATACAAGTACGTCGACTTTGTGAGCTTCCGAAACGTGAATTAGTGTACATTCATATGGAAAGAAGTATGACGGTAAGCGATAATGGGGATTTTATTTATTGTACAAATCAGAGTGGTCATGTGTATCAAGTTGATAGCAGTGATGGAAATGTTGTATTGGAGTTGAATTTACATAGACTTCAAGTGCCCCAGAACAAAGTTGTAGAAAACAATAGTCTTTCAGTCAAATCTGACTTTTCTGGTGTCGAGATCAATCTCAATTCACCAGTAGATGTGTGTTACCTCGGAAACGGTACAGTCATTGTCTTTGACAGTGAAGGTCATATTATTCAAATTGAAAGTCATGGCGATTATTCTATTCAAACAATAAATGAAATGAAAAGAAATTCTATCATCACCTTCATTTCTACCATATATGACAGATCAACATCCAGTCTTATTGCGATAGATGGTGGTACTATAAAGATTTTTAGA